GAACCCTTTGTGTCACTCTGGCAAGATGTTCTGCTCCTGAATCAGCTGGGTGGGTCTTGCCTCTAGCCTCTTTGCAGAGAGTTCTGCTGAAGGGTTCTGTGCTGGGCATTCACTCTGGTTCGAATGAGGATCCACGGGCTGTGGGTGGTCTCACTCACTCTCCGGGCCTGTGCTTCAGGTCTATTCAGGTTCCCACTGCGCTGGCTTGTCTCACTCACTCGCTGCGCCTGCGCTCTGGGTCTATTCAGGATCCCTTGGCCCTTGGTCATCTCACTCACTCGCCGTGTCTGCACTCTGTGTCGATTCAGGATCCTGAGGCCCTCGGGCCTGTGCTCTGGGTCTATTCAGGATCTGCAGCTCTGGTCTTCTCTCTCACTCACTCAGGCCTGTGCTCTGGGTATATTCAGAATCCCGTGGCCCTGGTCGTCTCACTCACTTGCCGGGCCTGTGCTCTGGGTCTATTCCTCCCATTCACTTTTACAATTTAATTTTAATAATTTTTAATATTTTTTGTGCTACCAGGTATTGAACTCATGACCTTCCACTTGCCAGGCAAGTACTTATTCCACTCAACTATCTCTCTGGTCCCCAAAATTTTTATGTGTATATGCTTGACACATAGTATCATTAATCTTGGGAAAATGGTACACATTTTTTATCATATCTTGATCATTTATGCTTTCTTTTCCCTTGTGTTTTTAAGACTTTATAGTCCCTGAGAAAAATGCTGAAAAGGCTCATTTTAAATGGGGACAGATTTATTTTGGCTCATCCTTTCAGAGGTCTCAGTCCAGACATGGTAAACTGGCTCCATGGAAAGAATGGCTTCGTGAAATAGTCTGACATAGAAAAGCTGCTCACATCATGGTGGTTAGGAACCAGAGAAAGAAATAAGGATATAGGGAGGGAGATATAACCTTCTAAAACATGCCCTCATTATCTTAGCTCTTTTGACTGGAAAATAACACTGAATAAAACATTTAGATATATACACATCATTGGATTAAACAATAAGGCAAAAAAAAAAATCAAGACTAAATCCATAAGCGCCCTGCATGATCCAATCACATTCTACATTGTGGCTCCACTTCAGGGTCTGAAAGAGGCTTACACAGATGAGGGTCCAAGGTTAAAGAAATCACATGCACAAGACAGCAACAACAGCAGACAGCATGAAGCAAAGCAGAGCAAAAGAGTACAATAGCACAAGAAAAGACTGTTTCTTTATTATTTAATTATTTTATAAATTATGTTTTCTTTATTATTTAATTAGTTAATTAGCATACAGGTTATCTCATGTTTACATTGTTGTATAGTGCTCTAAGCAGCACATGTATGCTTCACTGTGCTAAGGAATGGTTGCATAACTGTATCGCTTTGTGTGCCTACACTAGATGAGTGGAGTCACATCCCCAGGTGTCCTCAGATACCCCTGAAATTTGAAGTAGTCCGTTTCCTGACATCCAGCCCCTTCAACATTTACAGGTATATAAACGTAACATGTTGTACATAACAGGGCACAAGTACCTCCTTGTGTTGTAGTAAACCAAAAATCATGTGGTTTTGCAAAATCTCTTTATTTGACCAGTTTAATCAATAACCATCATCAAAGCCTGGCATGCAACATGCAAGGTCAGAACCTTATGTTAAGCAAAGACTTCAAGCTAGTGGGCTAATTTTATGGTTCTTGCCCCTGATCCAGTATTTCTTCCACCAGCATCCCATATGAAGGAGTAAATATTTTTGGTTAAATGATATTAATAGCAGTAATTCATTGCAATGCTAGTTCAAGGCATAATCCTGAGGGGATTTGACTGACCTTATCAGAGTCAAAAGCTGCAACATTCGTTGCATAAGTCTTGCTTTACCTTAGTTTTAACCAAAAAGCATAAAAGTATAAAAAAATATAAGAAGTAAAGCAAAGATGTTATGTGGAGCTGTAGGGGACTCTTGTCAACAGTTTCTGACACTGCCAGTCAAGAGGAAGATCCAATACTATTATGAACTCCTGGACTTTTTAAGAATATTTTGCTGAGTTAACACACCTATATTATTCAAATGATGGAACTAAACAAAAAAGGTGATACAGATTTTTCCTGGGATCCTGTAAAACAGATTGAAGAACCTTTGTAAGTGTCAGCAATGTGGATGAGTCACTGCCATTGCTTGGCCAATGTCCTCTCTGTGAAAGCCTGAGAGAATGTTTTCTCTCCCTGTAATTCTCCTTAGGCACATTCTACATCATTGATCACTTTCCTCTTTGGCCCCATAATCTCCTTGATCAGAAAATTTGGGACACTACCGAGTTACATGACATTAGAGTACAAGATCTCATATGTCCTGAGACTTAATTGACCTTGAAAGGATAGGGCCAATATGTTGGGTTTCCTTGCGACCCTCCTTTTTCTCTAATTTTGGTTTGCAAATTTAAGTTGTTAACCCTCCAGAAGAGAAGCTTGGTGTTATTACTATACAGCCTAGGCTGTTAAGCTTAACCTCACTATCTGTCTGAATATCAAAAATCTTAGGCATAACATGGAACAGGAATTTTTCATCAAGTATTGATATGTTGAACATTAAGTCCCTGCAGAATATGATGAAAAAACATTTAAAAATTTAAAATGCATTTTAAAAATAGGCATAAAGAATTATATAATTCTTATGTTTACACATAAGTACAGAAATCTAACCATATACAACCATGTAGCAGGACAGTCCCGCAATAGTCCTTTACCTGTTTCCTGCCTTCATTCACGACCCCCTTCTTTTTGAACAATCGTCTACTCGAGAGACAGCACGGCAGTGACTGGCATGTCATTACAAGCAGCCCGTATTCAGAAGACCAGAATGACAGGGACTGCAAGCATGAACCTACTATTATAAATTGCCATCTTCAGTGCAGTTGTTTAGTTCAGAGATAGCTGTATATGTAGTTAGTCAGGATGGGAATCATTCCAATTAAATTCTATATTCAAAGATCTTCTGAATATTTTTTAGGATCAATGCCTTACCAATCTTCTACATATAGCTGTATTGCTTACTCCTGTCATGTTTCCTAGCTCTTATCTTTACTCTCAATTCATTGTCTAGTCCTTAAGTTCTTGCTTTCCTTTAAGTTA